CTGCAGCAAGTGTGTGAGCTTCGAGTTGCGATAGGGCACGTGGCCCACGCCTTTCTCCTGCAGCCAAGTGGATTTCAAAACCCTAAACCCTGAACCCTGAACCCTACACCCCACGTCTCCCAGGGGTTAGGGTGCAAAGAGACTCGAACATGTATGTAAGGCTGACAGACGCTGCTGGTTGGGGATCATCTGGAGGTTTACGAAAATAAGGCCCTAAACCCTCCCTGAACCCTATAATAGACCCCAAAATAGCAGGATTCCCTTCTAACAAGGACACCTAAGAAGGTACAAAGCAACAACAGATAATGCTGGCTGGGGATCATCTGGGGTTTTACGAAGGTAAGGGACCCTTATGGCAGACACCCAAATAGTAGGATTCCTTCGGATAAGTGGACCCCAAAAAGATACCCTGAATTTCGGAAACCCCCAAAGTATCTCACGAGTTGCCCTGCGGTGCAATATAAATTCATGTTCAGGGTTTAGGGTTTAGGTATATAGGGTTTAGGGTTTAAAAGTTAGGTTTGGGTTTCAAATCTCAAGCCTGACGTCTGCAAGCCCCGTTTCACCTGAGTGTCCTGAATATCCTAATATCACCCTTTGCAGCCTTTCTCCAACGGAGTCTGGGCGTCACGGCTGACGTGAGGACGACGGCGTCAGCACAGTGTTGGTTCATGCTCATTTTGTGAACTCCATGCCGTTGAGGGTCTGGCATACTGCTGGGACCTTTTCGGGGGCTAGTATAGTATGATGACATGACAATCATAAGGGAGTACTACTAAAAATCTTATGTACCCACTTATATAGTATAATGATAGAAGAAATAAGAATCATAAGGGAGTACTATTGGCAATTATACCGACCCCTATATTAATACCCCACATGGTTGAGGCCATCAGAACCATCAGAAGCAATGGCAACTCTGGGAGCGCAGGACGCTTTAAGTAAGGGGGTTTTAGGGCTTAGGGTTTAGGGTTCTTAAGGGAGGGGGGGGTTCATGGGGGGGGGGGGGGGGGGGGGGGGGGTAGGTACCTAGGAAGCTTAGGGAGCCTGTAGGAGTAGTAGGGAGTTTTAGAGAACCTTGGGTTACATACCCCCCTTGAAACCCCCCATCCCTTAAGAACCCTATAACTTAAGGCTTAGGCAGCAGCTGCTTACCCTAAACCCTAAACCCTAAACCCTGAACCCCCTGAACAGAGAACGCTGAAGCTCGTAGCCGTGCAAATGCCAGCCGTGGGGCTTGGGGCCTAGGGGTTTATAAGAAACTAGAAAACATGCTTTAAGGTTTCGAGATTTTGGTTTAGGGTTTAGGGTTTAGAGTTTAGGGTTTAGAGTTTAGGGTTTAGGGTTTATCCTACCAAAAACCCAAACCTATAAAGCAAAGCAACTAAACATCCAAAACATCCTAAATCTTAAACCCTAAACCCTAAAACCCCCTCAAACCTCGTTGGGGCCTTCGCTACGATCACGTCGGCCAGCGCGGAGAGGGAGCGATTGATGTGTTGGGCCTGGTTTTAGGGGTTACAAAAGGCTTAGGGTTTAGGATTTAGGGTGTAGGCTTTAGAATTTAGGGTGTAGGGTTTAGCCCTAAACCCTAAACCCTAAACCCTTAGGGTTTGGGGCTTAAGGTTTGGGGTTTAGGGTTTTGGTGATTATGGTTTAGGCCGCACTCTTTGGGTTCGGATTTGAGGGCCATTTAGGGGTCTCGGGTTTGGGGTGTAGAGTTCTTGCCAGTAAGGGGCTTAGGGCATTTGGGGGGTTGTACGGTTTTTTTTGGGCAAGAGTGCGTAGGGTTGAAGTGCTTCCCATACCTATACCCCAAACCCACGCCCTAGGAGGCCCCAACCCCATTCCTTCCTTGAACCCGAAGGATTCAGGGTTTAGGGTTAATCTTAAGCATGTGAACGTAGAACTGAGAACCCCTCATGACCTTGGTTTCGGTTAGGGTTTAGGGTTTAGGGTCTAGGGTCTAGGGTTTAGGCTTAGGTTTTGGGGTTTGGCGTTTTGGGTTCCCTAAACCCTAAACCCTAAACCCTAAACCCTAAACCCTAAACCCTAAACCCTAAACCCTAAACCTTACACCCTAGCTTCCCAACCCCGAACTCTGATACGGATTTTGGGCTCACAGGGCTCCTAGGGTTAGTGTTTTTTTTTCTGCTTGTGCAGTATGTTTCTATAGGGTTTCTATAGGGTTTCTATAGGGTTTGTTTTTGAGCCTTTATAGGCTGTTAACACATAGGGATTCTACATTTCTATAGGGTTGGGAAAAATTGTTAGTGTGTTTCGGGTTGATGAGAAGATAAGGTACGATGCACCTTGTCCACGGCCAGAGGGCTTCAACGGCACAGAGGGTTCGTAACCCTAAACCCTAAACCCTAAAGCCTAAACCCTAAACCCTAAGGGGCCTTTGGGCGTGTGGGTGGGTGGGGCTGAGCCCTGTACTGTGTGTGTGTGTGTGTGTGTGTGATTTGTTGGGTTTAGGGTTTAGGGTTTAGGGTTTAGGGTTTAGGGTTTAGGGTTTAGGGTTTAGGGTTTAGGGTTTAGGGTTTAGGGTTTAGGGTTTAGGGACATGCAGATATGACATAATATGACTGTCAAAGAGAGCTCAAGTCCATGCTGTAGCATGGCAACGCATGCTGTCTGCAGTCGCCGATGAAGCGACTCCTCCGAAGCCAAGACGCAGGCGTGCACTCAGAGAGAAGACCCTCACCAGCAGCCTGCAAACTCTCGGTGCAGCTGTGCAGCTGCCTCCATGACTTAGAGTTTAGGGTTTAGGGTTTGAGAGTTTAGGGTTTAGGGTTTAGAGTTTAGGGCTGAGGTTTTGCTCGTGCTTTACATCTCTGCATCGCTACGCACCCGTCGAGGAGGGGCTTTGCCGACATCGTCCTGACAATCTGAAATTGGAACCGGGAAGGCATACAATGTCGGAGTCGGAGACGATGCTGCCTTAACCCTAAACCCTAAACTCTGAACCCGGAACCCAGATGTAGAGCAAATAACTGAACCGGCTCCGCCTTAAGCGAGTTCCCTGAATGTCTGCAGCTCGCGAGGCAGACTCATCCATTTGATACCGGCAAATCGCATTTTGCACATCTAGGCTGGCCCTGAAACACCCTGGAAAAGCTTCCCGAAGATGCTAATCTAAACCCAAGCTTTAGACCCCAAGACCCTGCCTAGTAGTCGAAACCCCTGGAAGGAAAAAAAGGTCCCAAACCGGCCTAACAGTCAGCATCCCGCAAGCCTAGGCCCTAAGCCCTAAGCCCTAAACCCTAAACCCTCAACCCTAAACCCTAAACCCTAAACCCTAAAACCTAAACCCGAAACCCTAAAAACCCAAATCAAGGGGGCCTCTCCTTCGCAAGGGCTGACGGCCATGGACCCCTGAACCCCTTAGCACCACTTGCGCGCAGAACTTATCGCCCTGACACCAGCGAAACACCCCAAACCCTAAACCCTAAACCCTAAACCCTGAACATTCAAACATTCAGAGCCAAGGCAGCTGCTTCTCTCAAGCGGTCGCCGGTGGCCTAGCAGTGACTGCAAGCGGCATGCGGGTAATCGGGCTGAGTGTGGCTTAGGGGTTAGGGTTTAGGGTTTAGGGGTCTTAGGGTTTAGGGGCTTTAGGGTTTATGGGTTTTCGGGGTTTAGGGTTTAGGGGCTTTAGGGTTTAGGATTTTTAGGTTTGGGGTTGAGGGGCTTAGGGTTCTGGGGTTTGGGGGTTTTGGGTTGGGTTTAGGGGTTTTGGGGTTCGGGCTTTGGGGTCCTCTGTGTCGGGGTTCGGGGCTTCAAGGCGTACCTTTTCATCGCAAAGACCCGCAAGCCTCAAAGTTTAAGCTTCCTCGGGTCTAGTTTAGGGTTTAGGGTTTGGGGTTTAGGGTTTCGGGTTTGGGCTTTAAGGTTCAGGACTGACTTTTTTAGGGTTTAGGCTGTGTAGGGCTTACCGAGATCAAGCTAATCTAAAGAACTCTCTGAAAAGGAGCTAGAAACCCTGCACCCTAATAATGTAGGGTTCTAAGGGAGGGGGGTTCGTACCCAGGGAACCTTTAGGGAAGCTTAGGGAGCCGTCGGGGGTAGCGGGGAGTCTAGAAACCCTGCACTTGGGATGTCCCACCCTTGTACTAATAGTCTTCAATAGGGATATTGATTGTGTACGAAGCGAGGGCATGTAACACTTTTGTAAAGAAATGAGTTGACGAGCAAATTCACGAAATTTGTTGAATGAGTGAACGAAGTTGCCCGCCTGTGAAGATGACACACTACTAATAGTTTTACTGCCTGAACAGAGTGAGTGCACAAGCCTTGTTATCATTAATAACCGGGGTCGCAAATATCATTTTCATTCTCAGCCCGGGATAGAAGATAAGGATACCAAAAGACCAACGAAGTGAATGCATGCACGATCTTTTCTGGTAAGTGCGTGAAGTGAGTGAACAGAAATGAATAATGAATTCACGGCCCTGTTATTCTTATCTTTGTGGGCCGTTATAATAATGCTAACAGAACTCCATCTAATTGAAACACGCATGAACGAAGTGAATACATGTGTGCCCTTTTTTGTATTCTTATTGGGTGCGTTAATGATAATACATTCGTACGTTTCACTACGCTCATTAAGCGAATGCATGCACTCACTGCATCATTTACGATTCGTTTATTCACTCAATTCACTCAACAATAACAAGAACGAAGAGAACGCAACAACTTCATGTATAAGGGCGTCTTTTGCCCGCATGAAAGTAAGTTAAGGCGTGAACGCAGTAAGAACCAAGATTGACCGTGTATTCGCGAATCTTAAACCGCCAGTCAAGGTACTTCCAACATTCCCCTTTCCTCAAATTCTTCATCTATAATATAATCTCACCGCCAGGCAAAGGAACACTTCGTTCATGCTATTCGTGCGTTTCATGCGTCATGAAGTCCTTATTAACTTTAAACACACTTCTTGTAAACGTACACTCACCTCATTATTACCTTCATCAGCTAGCGCACTTTCCTCAGTATCATCACGGCTTTTCCTGCACTCACTTCTATGAATAAAGGAGCGAGGGAAGTGAGTGTGTGAACGCGTGATCGAGTGATAGTGAACACATGAACGCAGTGAAGTGAATGGGCAAGGTGATCATGAACAGGTAACCCTTTCAAAACGGTGGTTATAGGGGACCATGCAACCTCCCTGAGAATTTCCCCCTTCCTCCCCTGCCCTAAACCCCAAACCCCAAACCCCAAACCCTAAACCCTAAACCCCAAACCCTAAACCCTGAACCCTAAACTCCCTTGCCTCGCTGCTCTTGATGCGCTCGCTTCCGGCCAGGTCCACGAGGCTCAAGCGCCCCAAACGACGCTGGGCGCCTGTGCACGATTCCCGCTTTTGGAGTTTAGGGTTTCGGGTTTAGGGTTTAGGGTTTAGGGTATTCATATAAATATATATATATATATATTTGTATTCATATATATATATATACATATGCATATGAACATGACATCTACAAGGCACCTAGCACGTCCTCTTCCTGGCGGTGTTCAAGTGCTGGAGTGCTTGGGCCCTTAAACCCTAAACCCTACATCCTCAGCCCTAAACCTTAAACCCTAAATCCTAAACCCTAAACCCTAAACCCTAAACCTAAACCCTCGCGCCGAAGAATGGCGACAACGAGTGGCCTGACGTGGCATCGGAGGTCAGGAGATAGAGCATCATGACCTCGTGCTGGCAGCCCCTAGACCCTAAATCCTAATAATCCTAAACCCTGAACCCTGAACCCTGAACCCTGAATCCTGAACCCTGAACCCTGAACCCTGAACCCTGAACCCTGAACCCTAAACCCTAAACCCTAAACCCTGTAAACCTCTCAGTTTGGGTGGGGGTGGCTTCAGGGCGAAGGTAGGCGACTGCCAGAACCCCCAAATGGTACTCTAAACCCTAAACTCTGAACCCTAATCCATTCAGGGTTTAGGGTTGGGTTTATTAGTCCGTTCTTCAAATGGGCCCACAAACCCGAGGGTACAACTGAGAGGGGCAAGGTCTACCCCTGCAGCCACAACACCGACAAACCCGGAAGCCCCACGTAGAGGATGAGAACACGTTGCTTAGGGCTTTAGGGTTTAAAGGGTTAAAGGGTTAAAGGGTCAAAGGGTGAAAAGGGTTAAAAGGGTTAAAAAGGGTTAAAAAGGGTTAAAAGGGTTGAAAGGGTTAAAGGGTTTAGGGTTTAAAGGCTTTAGGGGTTAGAGGGTTCAGGATTTATTTAGGTTTAAGGTTAAGGCTTCGTGGTCCGGGTTTACTTGTGTTCATGCGCCTGCCTGCTTTAAGGGGTATACCCTTGGCCACAAGCCCACAACCCCAAACCCTGTGATGCTGCACTGCCTGTCAATTTTCCTCAAGAAGCTAAAGAGTATCTGTTGAGAACTTTAACCGCAAACAGTCGAAGTATTGAATGTTCCTTACTCGCTACTACCTCTAAGGGTACGTAGTTACATGGTCTCTTAATATGGGCTCTTGAAAGAAGACCCCTTATGTAAAACTTATATACCCCATACAACCCAAGGGCCCTTACATCAGAACCCTTTAGAGGAGGTAAGGGACCATATTGAGGGCCCATGCCTTAGACCACGAGACACAAGAGTTGCCTAGCAATTAGCCGGGCAACCTTTTTGGCTTAAAGAGGCTTATAAGTTCAACCTCAGCTCCCCGAAAAAAAAAAAAACGGGATAAAGGCCTACGCTGGGTCCTGAGAACCCTACATCCCACACCCTAAACCCTAATCCCTCAAACGCTACATTCCGCTGGGCCCGCAGCGAGATGGGAACGCGAGGAACAGCCGTGAACCTCGGCGCCGCGAAACCCCGCACTGCTTCCCTAAACCCTAAACCCTAAACCCGAAACCCTAAACCCCAAACCCTAAACCCTACGCTACTTCCCTAAACTAGGATGGCCCTTACTTAAAGCTCTCTTCTGAAAGATACTCCTAAATATAGTCCTCTTAGGCCCAATAAGGGATAAATTGAATGTCCCAAGGGCCTACCGAGTACGCCTTCTAAACCCCAGACGCTCTAAACCCTCTAAACCCGCTAAACCCTCTAAACCCTCTAAAACCCCTAAACCCACTAAACCCCCTAAACCCCCTAAACCCCCTAAACCCCCTAAACCCCCTAAACCCCCTAAACCCCCTAAACCCTAAACCCCAAACCCTCAACCCTAAACCCTAAGCCCTAAACCCCACACATCGGCTTGCGCCATCGAGGTCCAGCCTTCGGCCCTGCCCACCGCGTAGCGACAACGCTCTACAGAGCCTAAACCTCGAAGAGCCCAGTATATCCCTGTCTAGGGACCCTAAACCCTAAACCCTCGACCCTAAAACCGAAACCCTAAACCCTGAACCCTAAACCCTAAACCCTAAACCCCAAACCATGCGAATGTGGAGTCCGGGCCCCCTGACCGCCGTGGAGCATGTGGCTCGATGGGCTTGTCCCGACCGCAGGGCAGCCTGCCACAGGGTCTCCAGGAGTAACCCTAAACCCTAAACCCTAACCCCAAACCCCAAACCCTAAACCCCAAACCCTAAACCCTAAAGCCTAAACCCTAAACCCTAAACCGTAAACCCTAAACCCTAACCCCAAAACCGAGAAGACTAGGAGATGGGTTGGGAGGTAGTTGCGTGGTCCCTTCAAATGGGTCCTTAACTGGGGAAAACTTTTACCCCTGATATACTCTGCCAACCAGGATTAGAGGATATATGGGGGGTCTAACCCTAAACCCTAAACCTGAAACCCTTCTGAGGCTGTAGGGTATGAGGCCAAACAGGGCCAAACACCCTCGCAATTCCGAACCCCAGAGCATGAGACACTAAGCTGCACATGTACCCATAGAGTAGACAGTTTAGGGTTTAGGGTTAGGGTTTAGGGTTTAGGGTTTGGGGGTTGGGGGTTGACCTGCGAATACCTGAAGGAGCTACAGCGGTGACTTTCATGAAATGAAGTCCTTCGGGAGTGCATCTTCAGCACTCACTTGAAACCCAGCTCTCCGCTTCATCAAGAAGTGTTCACAGAGAGCTCGAGTACCCTACATATAGGGGATCCGAAGAATGGGCCCTGAATTTGCGCCCCTTGTTGTATAACCCTTATGTACATATATAATAAGGGCCCTACTTCGGATCCCTATAAGGCGAAGGGACCACTAAGGGCCTGTGGTTCCTTAGAACGCATGTGGCGTGAGGGCTAGGGTTTAGGGTTTCGAGGGTTTTAGGGCCCAAGAACGTCTGGGATACTGATTTTGAGAACCTAATACCCTAAACCCTAAACCCTACACCCCAAACCCTACGCCCGCAAATGCAATGCGCTTGGGAATGGAGGAGAGACAGGCATTGCCACACACCCGCACTCTTTTGGATGCTCAGAAACGAACTTGGACAACGAACTTGGACTCTATTGCAGCCCTAAACCCTAAACCCTAAACCCTAAACCCTAAACCCTAAACCCTAAACCTTAAACCCTAAACCTTAAACCCTAAACCTTAAACCCTACCCGAGACCTTTAGCGCAACAAGCCAAGCTCTTTAGGCTGGGAGGCGCCTAGGTCTTCTGGGGATAAGGCATTTAGGGTTTAGAGTTTAGGGTTTAGGGTTTAGGGTTTAGGGTTTAGAGTTTAGGGTTTAGGGTTTGGGGGTTTGGGGTTTATGGGGGTTTTCTGGCGGAGGGTTTTGGGGGGGTTTAGGGGGTTAAGGGGGTGTAGGGAGTTCAGGGAGTGTGGGGTTTAGGGAGTTTAGGGAGCTTAAGGAGTTTAGGGAGTTTAGGTAGTTTAGGGAGTTTAGGGAGTTTACGGTTTACGGCTTAGGGTTTAGGTAACTATATACGTCTGAGCGCGAGGTTGACCAGCTGGGAGCTGCGAGCCTGCAAGCTTTTGAGCATGCCGCCGCTGTCGCGCGATATGTGCCGCTGTGCTGCCCCCTGGGACCAGTGTTTTTTTTTTTTTTTTTTTTTTTTTTTTTTTCCGGGGCCCGAATCCCTACCCTAAACTTTGGGTTTAGGGTTTAGGGTTTAGGGTTTAGGGTTTAGGGTTTAGGGTTTAGGGTTTAGGGTTTAGGGTTTAGGGTTTAGGGTTTAGGGTTAGGGTTTAGGGTTTAGGGTTTAGGGTTTAGGGTTTGCGGTTTAAGGTTTTTGGACCTCAGCCCTAGAAACCAACAACCCCCACCTACGGGGGTTTAGTTTTTGGTTCAGGGTTTTATCATACAAAACGTACTTGGAACCTTTGCACCTTAGCAAAACCCCACGACCTGAATCCTGAACCCAAAGCTGAACCCAATATCCAAAACCGAAAACCCTACCCTAAAGCCTAAAGCCTAAAGCCTAAAGCCTAAAGCCTAAAGCCTAAAGCCTAAAGCCTAAACCCTACACCCTACACCTCAAACCCTAAACCCTTAACCCTTACACCCTACATGTAGGGTTTAGGGTTTAGGGTTTAGGGTTTAGGGTTTAGGGTTTAGGGTTTAGGGTTTAGGGTTTAGGGTGCTAAATCCCCAAGCATCCCAGAGCTCCTAAACCCGAAGCCCCAAACACGTTTAATTGAAACCCTGAATTACCCAGGAAACCGTAGAAAAAACCCCAAAACCCGAAACCCCAAGCCCTAAACCCTAAACCCACAACCCTAAACCCTAAACTCCTAAACCCTGGAGTTTGGAGGCGTCTGGCAGACCTGCCTGCAGCGTGGCACTGCTGGTGGGCGTGGGCATCTTCAGCCTTGCGGGGGTAAAGCCCAAGGGGTTCCATGTACCGGTAAGGGTTTAGGGAGTTTAGGGTTTAGGGTTTAGGGAGTTTAGGGTTAAGGGTTTAGGGAGTTTGGGGTTTAGGAAGTTTAGGGTTTAGGGTTTAAGAAATATACGTGGGCCTTAAAAAGGCTCCCATAACATCGTAGCTTTAGGGCCCAAGTATATACCGTAGAGGTACATGGACCGTTAGGGAAGCTGGGCGTTGAGGTTGTGGAGGTCAGGGTATAGGATTTAGGGTTTTAGGGTTGAGGGTTTAGGGGTCTGGTGTGTGGGGTTTGTAGGGTCCAGGTTTTGGGGTTTAGGGTTCAGGTTTTGGGCTCGAGGGGTGTAGGGTTTGGCGTTGTTGGTTCTAGGGTTTTGGGTTCTAGGGTTTTGGGTTTTAGGGTTTGGGTTTAGGGTTTGGGCTGAAGTTTCGGGTTTAGGGCTTGGGGTTAGAGTTTAGGGTTTGGGGTTGGAGTTCCGGGTTTCGGTTTAGGGTTCGGGGTTAGAGTTTCGGGTTTGTGGTTTAGAGCGTGCTTGAGGGTTAGGGTTTTGGGCTTAAACCACCAAGTAAGTCTGAGGGCCTCCGGTAGGACCGCATGGGCTAGGAAGCATTAGGTCTACACCCCTAGAAAGGCTCCTTGAAAGAGAAACAAATCTTGTGTGCTGTGGGTTTGGTGTCTTGCAGAACGTCGTGGACCAGGCATGATGCAGCAACCTTTCCCATACGGACGCCGCCGGAGAAGGCCCTTGCCAGTCCAATTGTGCCGGTACCGCATGTGGCCTCAGGACCTTCATCGTGAGGTTGGGAAGCGGCTGGACAAGATTTCGGGTTTAGGGTTCAGGGGTTGGGATTTAGGGTGTGGGGTATAGGGTGGGAGAGGGAAATGTCAGGACTGGGATGTCATTCAGGAACTTAAAGCAAGCTATAAACCCTAAACCCTAAACCCCTCCAAATCCTAAACCCGTGCATACCTCCTGAAGGTTCCCCAACCATGACACCCTGAACCCTAAACCCTGAACCCTAAGCCCCTAAACCCTAAACCCTAAACGCTAAGACCGCACACCTTGGTGGCTCCGGAGCGTGCTTCACCTCTGGAACCAGCAGGTCCTGCTAAGCAGCTCCGAGGCTTTAGGCTTTAGGGTTTAGGGTTTAGGGTTTGGGTTTTAGGATTTGGGGTTTAGGGTTTAGGGTTCAGAGTTTCGGGTTCATAAGGAGTTTAGGATGCAGACAGGGTCTTTTGTTTACCCGCAAACGTACGATCTAACCATAGCTGGTGAACTCTCTCAGATCAGATGTCGCCCCGCAGGAAACGATCTAGGGAGGGACATATCTTCAAGGCTCATTTGTGGCATTCGAACTTGCTGTGAGCCCCAGATCAAAACCGCTCCGTAGTGCCACAAAGGCATCATAGTCGGCACCGAAACCATCTAAACCCTAAACACTAAACCTTAAATCCCACCCGAAGCCCAAGAACCCTAAACGCTAAGCCCTACACCCTGAAGCCAAAGACCTCACTGAGCTCTCAAACCAAGAGGACCTACACCAAAACATCGGACTGCAGTACGCCCCTCCCCCCCCTCCCCCCCCAACCCACGAAAGTGCCCCCCCCCCCCCCCCCCCTCCTATAAAAGTTCCTTAAGGAGCTATATATATATATATATTTATTTATATACGGGGCATGCTAGTTACATAGTTGTGTACTTCCGACGGCCGAGAACTCTATACTGTAATCAGTTTAGGGAGTAGGGTTGGGGGCTTTGCGGCTGATTTGGGGTTCTGTCATTCTATGCTTACGCCTCTGGGCCTAAGGTGTGGGTTAGAGTCTATAAGGTTTAAAGGGTGACGGGGTTCAGGTTTAGGGTTTAGGGTTCAGGGTTTAGGGTCAGGGTTTAGGGTTTAGGGTTTAGGGTTTAGGGTTTAGGGTTTAGGGTTTAGGGTTTAGGGTTTAGGGATTAGGGTTTAGGGTTTAGGGTTTAGGGTTTAGGGTTTAGGGTTTAGGGTTTAGGAGTTGCCAGTCTGGGTTTGAAAGGTATACAGTAGGGTGCTCATGGGTCGGGCTCAGAGATTCTGGCTTCAGGAGGCGGGCATTTCGAGCCGCCCGAAACCGAAATCCCAAATCCTAACCCTGAACCCTAAACCCTAAACCCTCAACCCACCAAACCCTACCCGGGACTCTATTTACCTACAGTTTAGTAGTAACTACCCTGAATTCGTAGGTACAACCCATAAGACTGTAGGTGAAGAGGGTCCCAGGTAAACCCTAAACCCGAAACCCAAAACCCTAAACCCTAACCTCCCCGAAGCCTAGGGAGTCTGGGCCCAGACCCGGAACTGCTCGTTGTAGATCTCCACCATCTGCACCTGCTTCTGAACAGTCCTAGGGTTTAGGGTTTAGGGTTTAGGATTTAGGGTTTAGGGTTTAGGGTTTACGGTTAGGGTACACAAGGTTGGTATGAAGCTTGTGGTTGAGGGTTTTATCGAGTTCAGGCTTGAGGCCTTGGGGTTTAGGGTTTAGGCTTTAGTCCGGTTTACAGATTCTTTAGGGTTTAGGGCCTGTAGACCCTAAACCCCTAGAAGGAGTCGTGAGCCCGACATCCTACTTACTTTCAAGGCATGCGAAAACTTCAAGAGCAGCTCAACCCTTCCAGAGACAAACACCCCGGGAAGTAACCCTAAACCCTGAACCGTATAGAAGTCCGTAGGCCTAAACCCTAAACCCCAAAATCAACCGTAAAACCCAAAACTCTAGACCCTAAACCCTCAACCCAGTCAAGCAAGCAGGAACCACGAGCGCGATATCAAGTGGCAGGACTTAGGACCCTAAACCCTACACCCTACACCCTACACCCTAAACCCTAAACCCTAAACCCTAAACCCTAAACGCATCGTAGACTCAAAGACTTGCCCAAGGTTGAAAGCCCTGGCAGCTGCCACTTAAAAAAGGATTTCTCCAGTTGTTCCTTGAACCCTAAACCCTAAACCCTAAACCCTAAACCCAAAACCCAAACCCTAAACCCTAAACCCGAAACCCTAAACCCCACCCAGGTTTGAGCTCATGAGGGATCAAGCGTGTAAGTAAGGCTCGAAAGCCCGGCGAATATGCCCTGCACTTTAAGCCCTACACCCGTCTGTAAACATATTTATAGGCCCTAAACCCAACCCTCAACCCGAAACCCTTAGGCCCAGCAAAGTCTAAACCCCATATACCCCTAAGGCTCCAAATATCCCAAAGTAGGTATTTTTTATAGACTTTAGAACCCAATGTAGGTATCACTTGCATACTTGGAGCCCTATAAGTTTAGGGTTTAGGGTTGAGGGTTTAGGGTTTAGGGTTTAGGGTTCAGGGTTTAGGGTTTGAGGCCCCTGCGACCACATCCAGACGCAGACCTTCCTTCTCCAAGGCCTCCGCCTTCGCAAGGGAGAAGGTCGGTTTGGGGTTTGGGGTTTGGGGTTGGGGGTTGGGGGTTTGGGGTTTGGGGTTTGGGGTTGGGGGTTTGGGGTTTGGGGTTTGGGGTTGGGGGTTTGGGGTTTGGGGTTGGGGGTTCGGGGTTTGGGGTTGGGGGTTTGGGGTTGGGGGTTTGGGGTTTGGGGTTTGGGGTTTGGGGGTTGGGGGTTGGGGTTTGGGGTTTGGGGTTTGGGGTTTTGGGGGGGCGGTACCCTTTTGGAGGCCCCATTGAAGGAGAAGGGGTGCCCTATCTTGGGACATACACATATGTCCGACCTTAGTAGGGAATGAAGGAATTATGTACCTGATGTCCCCCCTGATGGCCCCCTCTTTCCCCCCTTTAAAGGGGATATAAGGTATCTGATTCCCTTGTTCACTATGAAGAAATACCCTAAACCGTAAACCACAGGGACAGGGAAACCTAGTTGAGGCTCGGGTCGAGCCTTTATTAACATCCCTCCTCTAGAAACTAAACCCTCGCGCTTCCCTGAGCCGGGCGGCTGGCTCTGCAAGGAGGGGCCCCCTTACTCTAACTTAGGGTTAGGGTTTGGTTTAGGGGCTACCCTAAAGAGAAGAGCATTGAACCCACAGAGGCTCAAAACCTGGAGTGAGGGTTCTTGAGGGATTAGGGTTCTGGGTGTAGGGTGTGGGGTTTAGGGTTAGGGGTTTGAGGGTTGAGAGGTTTCGGGCCTCTTGGGTCGGCGGCCTGAGCCGGAGGCTCCTAAATTATGCTAACTATAGTTAAGGGACTTATAACCTAAGTTAGGATCCTTATAACCCAATTTAGGTCCCTATAACTCTACTTATAACTAGGGGGCCCTCCTTGTGGCTAACTTGGCGAATATGAGAGCTTTGCGGTTCAGCAAGGTATTTGGGTTTTAGGGTTTAGGGATATTGGGATTTAGGGTTTAGGGTTCAGGGTTCAGGGTTTAGGGTGCAGTTTTGGGGTTCAGCAAGGGTTGGTAGCCCAGTAACCATACTATTATAATGAGGGCACCCTTTTTTGCGGTTGGTTACTTTACAAGGGAACCTCGAACCAGAAAACGGAAAAAGGGTACCACTGGGTTTAGGGTTTAGGGCTACGCTACAGCTGCAAAGTCCAACTTCGGTGTGCCGGGCCTCCTCATCCAGGCGCTTGGCCGCCCGCTCCGCAAAGTTCGTGACGGTGTGGGTCTGCATTATGATACTTGCCCCTAACTAGGGTTTAGGGTTTAGGGTTCAGGGTTTAGGGTTTAGAGTTTGGGGTTTGGGGTTTGGGGTTTAGGGTTTCTGGTTTCGTGTGTAGAGTTGGGATGTTCCCCCTTATACTAACAGTCCTTAATGGGGATTGAAAGTAGGGGGTACTACGTTACTATAATCCCCATTCAGGACTGCTAGTACGAGTGGGAACATCCCTAGCCCCTAACTACTATCTGCTTATAAGAACCACCCGAACAAGAAACAAATCTTCCTCATATGGGAACTATATGGAGAATTATATACTTGCCCGACCTGAAACCCTAAACCCTAAACCCAGACTACTATTTGCTTGAGGAAGCACCGCCCTCCCACAGGGGTTTAGGGTTTCGGATAAGCGTACATAAGCGAGGTCGTAAGTAGGGTAACCGTACTTCTACTTGAAAGGTTGGGTTACTTGAAAGGTTCTTGGGCTGTTTGTGGGGCTCGTGGGTTATATGAAGGCAATTGTTCTTGTGCTACTTAAGCTCGATATTCTTGGGTTACTTACTTTCTCGTCCTTGGCTTGTAAGCTAGGGTAGGTGTAGTGGATCAGTAGGGTTCTACAAGGAGGGCCCCCCATAGGGATCCTAACTTAGGTTATAAGTTAGTAGTCCCTTATCTATGGTTAGTATAGTAAGGGGGCCCCTCCTTGTAGAAGTAGGGAAACAATGACCATGACATCATCGAAGGTGCCTGATTGAGGTCCGTATGGCCCGGCCCTGCTTGCAACTCCACTTTCATGGGGATTTCGGGTCATCGGGGGTTTAGGGTTGGGGTTTAGGGTTTAGGGTTTAGGGTTTAGGGTTTAGGGTTTAGGGTTTAGGGTTTAGGGTTTAGGGTTTAGGGTTTAGGGTTTAGGGTTTAGGGTTGAGGGTTGAGGGTTTAGGGTTTAGGGTTTACGGTTTAGGGTTTAGGGATTTAGGGTTTGGGTGTTTTTTGTTGTTTGTTTGGTTTAGGGCTTAGGGTTGAAAGTTTGGCCGGGGGTCTTTCGAAACTTTCCCTGCCTTGCCGCTGCCGGTGGCTCCGTAGGCAAGGATGGACACTGCCTGGCGTTCAGCACCCTAAACCCGAAGCCGTAAAACCCTAAACCCTAAACCCTAAACCCTATAGACCCTAAACCCCAAACCCTAAACCCTAATTGGGCTTCTTCTTTGCTTCGATGCTGGATGTGGAGTGCCGCAGCAGTTTTCGCAGGCGCCACACACACCCCGCACTTTCAACCTAAACCCACACCTCGCGGCCTCGCGGACCCTAAAGTCTAAAGCCGTACGAGGAGGCCCCCCCTCCCTCCTAGTTATAAGTAGAGTTATACCCCTAAACCCTAAACCCTAAACCCTCAATAGGGTTCTAAGTTATAAGGATCCTCACTTAGGTCCACAAGTCCCAAATTATAGTTCGTAGAGTAAGGGGCGCCCCTCCTTGTACTGGATGTTCCAGTCCGATCTCCTGGTACTCCGACCGTGCGTTTAGCGTCCTAGGATGGCCCTTGAAACCCTTTAGGGCTTAGGGCTTAGGGGTTTAGGGTTTGGGGGTTTAGGGTTTAGGGTTTGGGGTTTAGGGTTTAGGGTTTCCCTGTGAGGAGCTCCAAAAGAACAAAGGTATAGACCCAAAATACTCCCCAGACCCTGAAGCCGCAACCCTAAGCCCCAAACCCTAAAACCCTAAACCCCAAACCCCAAACCCTAAACCCTAAACCCCTAAATCGCCAGGACCCTTTCCTTCATGCGATATATCCCCTCTACTCCCCTTAGAACCTTATAATTAAAATCATATTATTCATATCCTCTTGGGTTTTATATAAACAAAAATCAAAAAAGTAAAAAAAATCATTTTCTTAATATCCTCTTGGGTTTGATATAAACATAAATAGCAAACATGATTCTAACAAAAAGTATTCCCAAGGGGGATATAGTCCCATGCCTCGCCAGCCAGCGCTGCCTCAAGCTCCTCCTGTAGCTCCTGGAAGACCTGCGGGGTTTAGGGTTTAGGGTTTAGGGTTTGGGGTTTAGGGTTTAGGGTTTAGGGGCTTAGGGTTTAAGGGGCTTAGGGTTTAGGGGGTTAGGGTTTAGTGTTTAGGGTTTAGGATTCAGGGTTTAGGGTTTAAGCTTTAGCGTTTAGGGCCTAAAGTTTCGCCTTAAACCCTAAGCCCCAAACCCTTTGGTCAAGTCTAGGGTTTTTCTCTGAGCTTGGAGACTTTGGAATCATCTGAGCGCACGGCAAAACCTAGTGGCCACGTCTGAGACGTTTCGTTGGGTGTCTGCTTGGGGTTCCCGCTTTCTCAAACAAAACGATGATATCCGGGGGTCTCGCTATTGGGGTTAGGCATCGCTTCCAAAGCAAGTTTGCTATGTCCTGCCCAAAGTACCTAGGCGTGGGATTTAGCCAGTCGCTCATCTGCATGTGGCTGCGTGCTTTTGACTGGGAGTTGGGGGCATCTAAGGCTCTACAGGGATCGAAATGATCGAAAAATGGGTGTCCCAAAACAGGGTTTCGGGTTGACGGGCAGAAAGGCACACCCCTGCCTTGTGGAACTTCCAGATCTGTTTTTGTGGATTAACGCTTTCGGGTCCTTAGATCTAAAGTCTGAGGCTGGGGCATAGGGCTTTTGCGACCCTGTACATCATAAAGCCCGCAATTCCATGGTAAGCTTCGTGACAGACAGGCAATCGGCACTGGTTGTTTGCATTCAAGGAGGAGCTTATTCTGGGACAACGCTGGGTTTTCCCGTAGCACAAAACTTGAGCCGGCAATCACCGACTTGACCTAGTCAAGGAACTCGAATTAGTGCTTTGATCTTCCCCTAGACTAACCCTGCGCCACAAAAGGCGTAAACGCAGCCATGAATTGGTGCAGCATGTAGGCTGCTCCGAGTAGGTGTGCTCACGCCGTTCTGCTACAGGCTTTAACAAGACCCAAAAGTAACCTGGGAATAGAAGCGTACCCTTTCTGGCTTGCACTGCTTTATAAGAGTACCTGAACCCTACAAAGGGAATAAGGGCATACTCTGGGTCCTAGTTTCGTCACCAAGAGAGGGAGACTGGCCTATTCGGATGGATGACTGGGCTACTGGCTGGTCGTTTTTGGGACATCTAGCAACCGTGTACCATAGCTAGAGGGTGAAATACCAAAATGGGAAAGGCACAGTTCCTGCTGCAAAACCAAGCTCTTGGCTTAAGGCTGATTACGCGCTAACATCCTGCGCTGGTCTGCTTGATTGTACGTGCTCTTATGGTATCTTCTGGTATCTTATGGCATCTTATGGTATCTTATGGTATCTTCATCACGCAGGTATTGCAGCAACAGCAAGCGAGAATGAGCTTTGTATAGGTCGCGCGTCTTGCCTCTTGCCTTAGCTACGCTGGGCGCGCCTCGCCGAAAACTCCTTGGTAGCCCAGCAATTAACATCACAGTAAGCGCACCCGTTTTTGGGTTGCCCCAAGGGTCCATGTACCTTGATGGGGGCCACTTGGGCCTTCTAAAGTACCTCCAAGTTAGGGAATTTAATCCAAGTACACAATAGTGGGCCCTCAGGGTTGGTCACTGTATAAGCTTAGGTTCCATACCAAAAAAGGGAAAAGGGTACCACTGGGGCTGCGAAGGCTTGACATGTATGCCTTCACGCCAAAGACCCTAAGCCCGACTGAGCCCCAAACCCCAGGTATTCCCTGAAGTTTCTCGGAGGTGTATTCAGCTTTCCCAAAAACTTCGCCAAAGTCCGCAGGAAGAGGCCACGCAAACCGGAAATCCGGCTTTCCCAACCTCAGGACCACAGAGCACAAGGGGCCTTGTGGGGTTTCGGTGCCGCATCTCTTTGGCTGAGCTATAAGGTATACCCCCTAAACCCTAGACCCTAAACCCTAACCCCTAAACCCTAAACCGTAAAGCCGGCCCCAAAACCCTAAGCCGAAGACCACATGAGCCTTGAGCTGAAAAAGTTCCTGCTTAGCTTCTGAAGGAACGATTGGGGCCCCAAGTGTTTCTTTGACAAGCACTAAACCCTTGGCCCCAAACCCTGGACCCTAACTACTAATGTAATTGCTTAAGACCCCCCCCCTCCCCAAAATCCAACATTCTTTCCTATAACCCTAAACCCTAAACTCCTAAACCCCTAAAACCTGAACGCTAAACTCCTAAACCCTAAGCTCCTAAACCCTAAGCTCCTAACCCTAAACTCCTGCACCCTAAACTCCTAAACACTGAACTCCTAAACCCTAAACTCCTGAACCCTAAACCCTAAACCCTAAAACCTTGGGCCAGCCACCTGGTCGTCAGTGACGCTGGCGTCAAAGACCTGTCAAAGGAGCACCCCTCCTCGACCCAAGAGTAGCCTAGGAATAACCATAACCAGGGCTTAGGGTTTAGGGTTTAAGGTTTAGGGTTTAGGGCTAGGGTTTAGGGTGACGCAACAGGAACCTAGGATTATGATTAAAACAAAGGGCACCCTTCTTGGTTCAAAGAGCTTCTACCGGAACCGAATGCAGAAAAAAAGTGAACAAGGGCCTACTCGGGGTTCCTAAACCCTAAACCCTAAACCCTAAACCCAAAACCCTAAACCCTAAACCCTAAACCCTTGTTAGAGTTGAGGACATGTAGGCTCAGGGATGAAAGACCTAGTCTTTGTCCGGGTTTGGGCTTTCTGGACCGGCAAGGGGCCTAGAGGCCTCAGGTTTCGCTCGAAACCCTCAACCTTCAAACCTTCAAACCTCAAACTTAAAGCCCAAAAGCCTAAAGCCTAAAACACCTAACCCTAAACTCTAAACCCTAAACCCTTAACCCTAGACCCTAGACTCTTGTAAACCCTAAGCCGCTCTTCATGTGTCGGAGGAGATGGACTTGGGGGGATTGATGAAAACACAAATCCGCAAACCCCTGAACCCTAAGCCCAGAAACCCTGTAAACCCAATAAACCTGCTACACCCTCTACACCCTTTGCACCCTCTAAACCCTCCAAACCCTCTAAACCTCTAAACCCTCTAAGCCCTGCAAGCCCTCTAAACCCTGTAAACCCTCTAAACCCTGTAAACCCTGTAAACCCTGTGAACCCTCTAAACCCTGTAACCCACTAAAACCTAAACACCCTAAACCGTGCAAACCCTAAACAGTCGATAAACCAGACCCCCTAAAACACCATAAAACGTACAAGCCTTTAAACCTAAGCCCCCTAAACCCTCAACCCCACAAACCCGAAAAACCCTGTAAACTCTATACACCCCAAAAAACCTAAACCCCCTAAAACCCTATACAGCCTCTAAACCCTCTAAACCCTATGAAGCCTGTAAACCCTCTAAACCCTCTAAACCCTGTAAACCCTATGAACCCTATAAATCCTAAAACCCCAAACCCTAGAAACCCTGAACCCTAAACCCTAAACATCCTAAACTCTAAAAACCCTAAACCCTAAAAAGCCGTAACAAACACAATAAACGCAACAAAACCCTAAATCTTAACCCCAGAAACCCCAGACACCCTAAACCCTGCAATCCCTAAACCCGAATTAAAAAAAAAAAAAAAAAAAAAAAAAAAAAAAAAAAAAAAAAAAAAAAAACTACAAGATGAGTCCCGAAACCCTAAAAACCCTAAACCCTAGAAGCCCTAAACCCTAAACCCTACCCTAGAAACCCGAGAAACAAAAAACTAGAAACCCTCAACCCTAAACCCTAGGAACCCGAAACCCGAAACCCTAAACCCATGATTCTTCCTGCCTTGTCGAAGCTAAAGGTCCGCGACTCTAAGCTGCGGAGACCTCGCGTGCCAAGGCGGGGCATGACCCCGGGAGGGTTTAGGGTTTAGGGTTCAGGGTTCAGGGTTTAGGGTTTAGAGCGTATAGTAGAGGCCAAAAAAGTTGGCAACTCAATATCGATTGTAGGCCTTAGGACTCTTAGGGTTTAGGCGGCTTAGGGCTTATAGCAAATCAGGCTTTGGTATACAGGGCTTGCGGTTTGTGTGGCTCAGGTCGCTTGTTGTGGGGTTTCTGGGTTTGGCTATGGGGTTGAAGGTGTGCATGTCGGATGTGGTGGCCTTCTGGTTTACTTTAAGGATCACGCGGACTGACTTGATATACTAGAAATCTAGATACTTACCACCCAAGTAGAATTGATTAGCAAACACATACAGATACTTGTTCACTTGTTCTAAACAGGTATAAGTCAGCTGTGCTAAGGTTTAGAAACGTTAGATGACTTATGTATGTGTTTAGAAAACTTCGATAAAATACAGAAGTTACAGACGAAAGTTAAGTGGCTACGAAGAGATAGCTAAGTCTTAGCTAAATGCTTGGCCCGCGTAGCTAACTTGTTAGCTAACTCTGGCCAGCCTGTTTGCGAGACACACGAAATGCTTAGCTACCTGACTAGGAAACGAGTTGCTAAGCACTTAGCTACTTACTTAATTAACTAAGTACTTACCAAGTGATTCATATTCTAGCCTCCTAGTTAATTAACATATATAGTCCTTAATTAACACTATAAATACCGCGTACCTTTAAAGTAGGGTTTACGGTTTAGGGCTCTCCGCTGTTCATAGGTTTAGAGGGTGTAGGGTTTAGGGTTCCTATACAGTAAACAGGGTCTTGGGGGTATCAGGCTATTAGGGTTATGTGGTGTATGAATTCCTAAACCCTGAATAAACCCCACACCCCCCTCCCCCGTTCCCAATCCAACCCCCCCTACCCACCCACAAAATGCCTGCAATGCCGGCGGCAGACCCCAGTGGAGACGGCCTGGCCAACTGAATTTGAGGGGTCGAGGGCCCCTTGGGGTTTGGGCTTGGGGTTGAAGGTTTGCTGTTATAGGTTGCGGACTTGGGGCTAAGGAGAGTTGATTGTTCTGAGGTAAGCTGAGTGAAGTGATGGAAAGCCTTGCGCACCCGACCAAAATCTGCTTAACCCCTAAATCTTGAAAACAGAGGAACTACGACTAGGGAAGGGTAGTTACATGGTCCCGTGGTATGGGCCCTTCAAGGGGGAAGAGACTTCAGAACCCTTTGAAGGAGGTAAGGGACAATAATAAGGGCCGATATAACTGCCCTTAGAGGGTTCAGTGATTCAAGGGCATTTTGAGGGGCTCTACTTCGGGGTCCTCTTCCGCCTGTGCCTCCGCACGCCTGGCGGGCGAAATCCCTGTGGGTTTTAGGGTTTGCGGATTATAGGGTTAGCCCGAAAGGAACCCCAAAGACTGCGGTGGGCATATTATCGTAGCAATACACCAGGATCCTTACACTCCTGACGTTGGCGTTGTATTAATAAACCCCCGTGATTAGAGCGGGCCGCCGCCCGAAAATGCCCGCCCGTCGGACTAGGAAAGCTTCCCGATTAGACCGGGTCTGGCCTTTTGTAGATTTTATGAGGATGACATGCTTGTGACCCCTACAGGGTGGGGCCCCCTAGTTATAAGTAGAGTTATAAGGGCCCTAAATTGGGTTATAAGGACCCTAAGTTAGGTTATAAGTCCCTTAACTACAGTTAGTATAGTAAGGGGGCCCCACCCTGTAAGGCCCTAATAAACCCAGGCAACCGACCAGCGAACTCCCCCCAGGCGATTCGACCGGACCTGCCCTCAATGTGGTTTTTGAAGCTGAGATGCTTGTGACCTCTAAGCGCTGAATAGAGCCCTAATAAAAACCCTAGACCCCAAACCCTCAACTAATCAGCGAGCCCTTCCCCCCACCCTCCCCGGACCTGCCCTCATC